TGCTGAACATAAGTTGGTTATATTTGTGCTTCTCAGCTACTAGCTTGGGGCACAATGTGCTCATGTTCTTAGGGGCCCTTAATTAGCACTCCAAAACTGGGCTCGCAGAGCAGATTATTCTGTATATGCTCATAGTGTAGCATGGTTGGATGTGTTCCCCAAATGCATCTTCACACAACAGGAGAGACCATTCGAAAGGGAATGTTCCGGTTACTGATGTGACCTCGGTTCCCTGAGATAAGGGAACGAGCGTTGCGTCACTTGCCGCGCTATAAGCTGCACACGAATCGATGACTGTTGCTTCAGTCGAATGATCTGATGAATGGCGCTCTGAGACAACTTATATAGGGGTCGGCTCCACCCTTTCTGGTGGGCTAAAGCGCCATTGGTTTGTGCAGCTACACAAACATGAACATGAACATGAACAAATCAGGCTTCAGTAGAGTAAAACATGAGTTTCCCCCAAATGCGTCTTCACGCAACACTCGTTCCCTTATCTCAGGGAACCGAGGTTATGTCAGTAACTCAAGCATTCTTTCACAAAAGCCCTATTCGCACGGGATTAGTATTACCTGGTGACCTCCAGTCATTTGTAATAATTGCGGAGGTTGTCTGTGATCTTAATCCCGTGCGAATCGGAGGTCTCCAGATAATACTAATCCCGTGCGAATAGGGCTAAAGACTCAACATTATATTGTATACATGTGATATGCATGCAAAAAAGTGAAATGGAAAATATATGCATGCATGCATAAGAAAAAAATCAGAGCATTCATGTAAATAAGTAAAATTAATCATTTCCACTGCAATCTTGCAGAATAAGGTTGATCTTTTTCTGCATAAACTAAATTCATCTCTTACCAGCCAAAATTATTCACGATTTTCTGTTCCTAAGGGACAAACTTAAGCTCACAGTCAATTTGCCAGATCTGATTTGTCAGAAAGGATGGTAGAGCTGGCTCAAACACTTTCAAATTGTTCCTGCAATAATCCTTTATCAGCCAGTCTTCCTTTTCATACTGTTCTGAGCCTGAGATGATGAAATTAAGATATGCTTTTCTTATTTCACTACCAAAGTCTTACAAAGTTCGGACTGACCCTGTGAGCTGGATACATTACTGCCTCCATCAAATAATTCATCCCAAAGTGGTCTATCGCATGTCTGCTCATTCACACTAAGAAATGTCTCATTTTAAGACCGTGATGTGACCATGGACATTTGCAAATTCGCAGAGTTTGATGTCCAAACTATGAGTATTAATCTTCTACTATGGGGTTTTGTAAACTCACATCATTTCCCTTTGAGCACTCATAGGTTTCTGAAGAGTGGGGCTCCAGGAAGGTGAGTGGGGCTGCAGCGGTGGGAGGAGCTTGGAGAGTTTGTTGGACTGAGCTGAATGGCTGTGGTGTCCTGTAGGGTGGGCTCACTGGTCTCCATCTTGAACACGGTTCTGCCCATCCTCATCAATGGCCAACGATCCCGTCCAGCAGACATGTGAGAGCTTTGTCTGATGGGTCGTCAACTGCAGATGCAACATGCTCCAAAGAACGAAAAGGCCACCAAGAGGAGGATGGGCCCGATGATGATGGGAGGGTTGTTTAAGGGCAGGAGTTTGGTAAAAGCGAGAGCGCCCACCAGGGTGATGCTAATGCCCGCCAGCATGATGCAGAGCCCACAAGCGCAGCAAAGAGCCGGCGAGGGCAACTCCTAAGAGCGGAGCGCCCTCCTCTCACCTGACTGCGCATCTTCATTAGAGAAAACCATCCTCTCTAAATGCCGCTGACCTTCTCGACCACTGCATAAAAAGGAAAAATGAGAGAGAGAGAAAACAGAGAACGAGGCGGAGAGCAGTAATGAGTATTATAGTGATGTGTTGGTCCTCCAACATCCGCCTGCCTGTTCATGTGTCATGTCAGCACCGGCTCTGAGCCGAGCCAATTCAATTAGTGCCAGCAAGACCAGATGAGTCTGATGATGTGAAAGCTTTGGCTGTAAGGAAATTACACTACTATATAACTTTATTACTCAGTATGGTTGCATGACAAGGCGTAACGGTTATGTAAATGTTTTAATCGGATGTTATGTCTGCATAAGGAATTTAATCATGAACATCATGGCTATTATTTATTATATTTACATCATAAACAGCATGTATATTATGCTCAGCTATTACTGTAAAAATTCTGAATTATCTAGAAAATTTCACAAAGTTAACATTCTTATAAACTATTGAACTGATAGAGATAGACAGACAGACAGATAGATAGATAGATAGACAGACAGACAGATTCATAGATAGAACATTAGAATAGTCCTAAATAAAATGATAGACAGACAGACAGACAGACAGACAGACAGATAGATAGATAGATAGGTAGGTAGGTAGAGATAGATAGATAGATAGATAGATAGAAGGACAGACAGGTAGATAGACAGACAGACAGACAGATAGATAGATAGATAGATAGATAGATAGATAGATAGATAGATAGAATTTTTGTATTTTCTAGTAAAATCTATCTACACTCAGTGGTTTAGAGGCGTTTTGACATTGGCCTACTTTTAATAGCCTATATTTTAATCTAAAACTACGTATTTAGAGATACAATCAATATGAAAACATTCAAAGTCCGTAATTGAACTGCGGGCGACATTACTCTAAAAATGAACGACTTCCGGCTCTACAGGTAAAAATAAATTAAACTCACCAGAAGATGAGATTTCGTAGAGTTGGCCGGTGTTGTCCTCTATTTTAGCGAATCTTCGGGAGTTTCAGGTGATTCTCCGGGCTTTTCAACTTCAGCCGCTGGAGGAGGGCTTCTTTTCGCTCTGGGCGGCTTGAGATGGAGCGACTTCTCCTCCTCTGAGCGCTTGACGCCGGAATCATTCCGCTCATCACCGCGGGAGGCGCTCTCGAGTTCCGCTTCATCGCTCCAACATACAGATGATACACGAATCCCGTTATCCTCCTCTGTGTTAACCTTCAGCGCTTTCAGGTTCGGCTAAAACATTACAACTTACAGGATGCACAATATATGCTCAAACACTTCTAGTAGAATATCAATTCACTTGGAAACAATCGTTAACACCTCCAGGTTCTCCCTGACACTCATATCCAAGGACACTAACCTGCTCAGTCTCCTCCACATGGCTAGAGAGGAATAAAAACACGCTCTTTTCAGTGCAAGAAAGAATTGAGGAAGGGTTTAAATATAGTACACTTTATTTCCTGTGCTTTTCTTTATTATCGTGTTCATACGCGCTCAGGTCCTCACAGGGAAGATAGTATGCACTGGCTGTTCATTCAAGGTCATTTACATGAGAATATCATAATCATCACATTTCTGTTATTATAGAGTTTTCAGGGTTAAATGGCCATTCCATAGACAGCATTTGTGAAATTAGCCTTTGATATGCCATTAAGAGTATCACACAAGCACTGAATACTGAGAACATAGCCATTGATGTGAGGTAGCTCCCTCTTTTGTGTCATCCCTGGTACATTAAATGTTTTCCAACACTTACTCATAAATGCACATACATAATACATGGACAACCACTAAATTCCATTTCATCTTACCTTAAATAGCACTTTAAACAACAAATAACAGGAAAAAATAACCGTGCATGTTTTATCATTTGAAAGGCAACTGAGAGGTAATTTAGTTATTTTGCACACTAGGAGCTCTGCCCGCCAAAATGGCACAATTTACACTTAGTAAAAACAAAAAGAATAAAATGTATCATCTTATAACATCTTATAACTGAATAGGCTGCAGGACAGGCTCATCGCCCTGATGCATAGAAAAATAGTTAACTTTTACAACAAAATAAAGTTCAATACTCTAAAAGACATAAAGCGGAACCATGAAAAAATATACATAAAATGAAGAAAATATAATCATCTGAAATCTGAAAAGACAAAAATACATACTGTGCAATATTTACTAACTATCTGAGCTGAAAGTATCTGGTCAAATGTATATAATACCTCATCAGCACCCTCATTAAAGCAGCAATAGCTCTCAAATGCATTTCCACTTAAAGGGTTAGTTCACCCAAAAATGAAAATTAGGCTGCGTTTTACTCACCCCCGAGGCATCCTAGGTGTATATGACTTTCTTCTTTCAGACGAATCCAGTCGGAGTTATATAAAAAAATTTCTTTGATCTTTCAAGCCGTTTAATGCCACTCGGCGGGTGTTGCATTGTTTCAGTCCAAAAGAACTTAAATAAAAATCGCCCATCCATAAAAAAAAGTGTCTCACACAGGCCCCGG